CTCGATGGTATTCACGTACATGCTTCCCTTGAGCCTCTCCTTCCTTGCGACGCACATCATCCTGCTCTCGAATTTGTCTTGCCACTTCCCACTGCTGCTCGTTTTTCAGGGAATTTTTTCTGCAGACCGTGTTTTAAACGTGCCGATTTTTCTGCAATTGATGACTATTTAGGTCAAATTGACTGGGACTCTGCCTTTGCTAATATTCCGGTGGATGAGGCCACTGAGCTACTTTACTTTCACTTGAACTTTGCGATCAATGCTTATGTTCCCTTTTATGTTATTTTCGAATCTACTTATCCAGCATGGTTCACCAAGGAATTAATTTCCCTAATCAGAGCCAAGAAGGCGGCACACTTAAGATATAAATGCACTCTTTCATTCTCTGATTATCTATCTTTCTTTTACCTTAGAGCTAGATGTAAATCTCTGTCTGCTGTTTGCTGGTCTGATTTTATTGATAGATCTGAACATGCGCTGTCGAATAATACCAATCTTTTCTGGGGCTTCATCAGAGACATCAGATCTTCCAAGCATTGCGCCTCTCAGATTCTGCATAATGATCATTTACTAGAAGATGATGAATCTATTGCGAACTGCTTCGCTGATTATTTCGAATCTGTTTATATTAGTAGCGATGTAATCGACGAATACCCTGACAGCGGTTTTAACTTAAATCACCCCTTGGATTCTTTATCCCTGGACATGTCAATTTCGGGTGTGTATAACGAGATTTGTGAGCTTCCATTGAGCTGCTCCGCTGGGATGAATGGCATTCCACCTTCATTACTAAAATCATGTATCTTTATCGCGTCAAGATTTCTGTGGCTGATCTTTAATAAGTCACTGAAGGATGGTGCCTTCCCATCTCTTTGGAAGCAATGTCTTGTCTCTCCGATTTTTAAGGGTGGCGACCGTCAATCAGTCACTAACTATCGTCCTATATGTAAACAAAATGTTATGCCGAAAATTTTTGATGGCATTGTTGCTCAAAAACTTAGCTCCCTATGTAAAAACATTATTATAAAAGAACAACATGGATTTGTACCGGGACGCTCGACAACGACAAATCTTGTTAATTACTATGATTTTTTAACTTCTGCTGTTGAGAATGGATCCCAGGTTGACTCAGTTTATACCGATTTTAGAAAAGCCTTTGACTCAGTTAATCATACAATATTAATGTGTAAACTTCGATCTCTAGGGTTCGGAGGTTCTCTTTTGCGTTGGATATCCTGCTTCCTGTCAAACAGGTCTCAAGTCTTAAAGTTTAATAACAGTTTCTCCAGAAGTATAAATGTTTTGTCTGGAGTGCCGCAGGGCTCACATCTTGGCCCTCTTTTATTTGTTTTATTTATTAATGACATAGCTGCTTTTATTAAATTCTGCTTTTTCTTATTGTATGCTGATAACCTTAAATTATACCGCCGGATTAATGGACCTGCTGATGCGTTTTTATTACAATATGACTTATTTGAACTTGAGGCTTGGTGTAGGAGGAACTGTCTTCGGCTTAACGTCTCTAAATGTTTTGTTATTCATTTTTCTCGTAGACGTAACTCATATTTATATAACTATACTCTTAAAGGTTTACCTCTCTCAGCAGTGCGCGAAGCTCGAGATTTCGGGGTCTTGTTCAGTGCGGACTTATCATTTAATACACATATACAATCAATACTTTCATCTGCTTATAAAACGCTTGGATTCATCCTCCGATGGGGTAAATTTTTTAAGAATATAACCACTTTAAAATTATTATACTGTACGTTAGTTCGCCCCAAGTTGGAGTACTGTTCCATAGTTTAGTCTCCGTATTTTGAATGTCATCAGTTATTGATTGAACGTGTGCAGCACAAATTCCTGCGTATGGCTGCTTATCGGCTAGGTAATCCCATGTCAATTACTTGCCATGAATACTGCACTATATTAGATAGATTAAATCTGCTATCGTTAGAAAGTAGGAGACTAACCTTTGATCTTACATTTATTTTTAAGCTTCTTAATCACTCTATTGATTGTCCGAATTTGTTGGAACGTATCTATTTTAACATCCCGACAAGAGAATTAAGACAGTACTCCATCTTCTACCTCGAGTATCACCGTACTTTGTATAGCGCAAATTCGTGTGTAAATAGGCTAATAATATCTGCAAGTAATTTTTCCAATAGGGTAGACTTTTGGTGGCTCTGTATCAACTTTTAAACAAAAATTTTCTCGTCTACTCTTGTAATTTGAATGTTCTCCATATTATGTTGTAAAATTTTAATTTTATTTTATTATTCTTGTTTTTTTTTCTCTTTGTACGCTAAAGGGTTTATTACCCGTTAATAAAGTTTATTATTATTATTATTATTATCATTGACATTGTTTGCATTTTTATCCAAATTAATTTTAAACGATAAGTTTTTATTATATTCTTGTGCATTATTTGTTTGCCTTGTTAATAATAACGTATTTAAATTTTTTGTAAATAATGATTTCTTTGATGAAAGTGTTGAAGTAGATTGCTTCATAACAGTAGGACAATTACTTGTTTCTATGTCAACATCTTTAGAAAAATTTCCAGAGAGTAATAATTTTTTCTTCTTTTCTGATATTTCATAATCCTCATTGTCAGATAAATCTAAATAATGTTTGTTCCCTTGTTTTACATTCGAATCTTTGAATGATGATGTAGCAGTTGTAGTACATTTATTGTTTACCGACATTTTTTTAACTTTCTTCATATTTTGTTTTTTAGAAGTGTCACTAACTAGAGGTACGGCAATTTATCACATAATGTTGACGGTGCTTTTGGAAGTGGTGGCATATTTTTTTTCTTCCTTTTATCCTTCATATTCTCTTGGTCACTTGAGATTGCATTATCTGTAAGTACAACTTTTGCGCGGAAATGTCTAGTTTTTATATCGGTGAAAACATCATCAACGTCAGAAGAAGTTTCAGCAGATTTTAATTTTTTCACTGCGGTTTCATAACAATCTGAAATAATTACTCTTTACAATTTTTGTTAAAATATTCATCATATATTTAAATATATCATATTACCTTACCAGCTGTGCTAATAATCCTCAATACGTCAAAGGAGTTCCAATCCGATGTAGGAAGTTCTATTTTGTCAATAGCTAGCATTATTTTTCCATCATCCTTGTAAGGAGGCCATTTTGCCTTTGTTTTATCCTCGTTTAACCAATTCTCTGGTATCATTGCTATTGCATTGTCTTCAAATTCAACAATAAAGTACATCATGTTAAAGACCAAATATTTCTATGTAGGGCTGTGTCAAAACCGATTATTCTGAAATAATTAACAACTTTATGTTACGGAGCTACATAATCTTGTTCTTTTATCTTATTTTAATATAAATATAGCATAATATAGCATAACAATAACATTATTAAATATTACGATACCTGTGTTAAATTTATGATGAAGATAATAAATAATCTTAAATCTCATCAACAATAATACATTATAAATTTACTAATACATGTTAAAATATGTGAATTAAACGTTACATAAAACTCTTAAAAAGTATGATTATTAACAACTAAATTTATATTTTAAGAATCAGCATTTTAATTATAAACTTATCTTTTTTAGCGTAATATACATATAATATTTATATATAATAAGAACATATTATTTTACAATATAGTCCATATTCCAATAAAATAGATAATACTAAGACTCTACAATAAACATACGTATTTTGTCTCATTATTATGTGTACCGCAATTAATACTACTAAACTGTAATGTAAATTTATTAAACTATTGAAAAGTATGAATAATAGGTATGAGAACAAAGCTGCGTTTATATGGCAATTTACATAATTTTGCTTTTATAAGTCTACATGGCCATATTTTTAAATTGGACATCTCTTCACATTCGTTATTAGTAACCGCATGTATATTAAAGTTTCGTGAATGACAAGTGTTCGGGCGTCGAATTTCGAGATCGCCCTGTCGACGAGTTCCGCTCAGACTTGAGCGCGAAACGTGTGTATCGAGAGTTTGGAGACTCGTGGAAGGGATAGATAATGGGAAACAATCGTGAAACACAGATTTGCAGAATTGCCTTTTATTATTAACAACTCGAGGGGGAGCGACGAATCGTGCACCGCGAATACGGAAATCTTCTGATCCGTTCCTTGTCGCTGCCAGATATCGCGAACGGAAATCTTGAAAAAGCCTCGGACTTGAAGCTTCACGCGGAACGGAAATCTTGTTCGCGACGAGCGGAGATCTTGAGCGCGCGGCAGAAGGACGGTCGCGAGCGGAGCACGATCGGCAGTAGAAAGACCCCTCGAACAACAATCAATTACACATAAATGTGACAGACGCGCACTTGCTTAGATAGGCGCAACTAGCGATTCAGGCAATGCGAGAAGGAGATAGAACTGCTAGGCTGAGACGACTTTATACTCCGCGAGAACGGAAGCTCGATTCGTGAGCTCTTAGGCGAACCAATTCGAGCGCCGACTTTCGACGATACTGCTCGAAAGCGACGAAGAAGTGCGACTGACTCCTGCGGGCGAGTCCTCGCAGCGAGCTTGAGAAATTGGTTTTTTTTGTTTTGGAACGAACACGCACAGAGCTGAATCGCTATTCGCGTTGTTTTGACCATTTCACGTGTCGGAGCCGACCGCTGTCGGGCTCCAACCAATCGGAGCGCGTGACATATTTCGTCCACGCGTGATCGAGTATCGATCGACGCCGCCGGAGCTCGGGCAAAGGAGGGGTATGATCGCGTTGAAATTAGCCCCGAGTTCGACGTTTCTCGAACATACCGCCCGCCTCGGAACGATAGTTTCGAAATAATGAGCACGATAATCCTGGCAAGTAACCGCACAGAGCAGGATAGGTATACATATTCGGCCGCCCGCCGTGGAATAACAGTGCAGTAACATATGTACAAACTTAATCTAAATCGCACGCAAACTTAATCTAAATCGCACGCAAACTCAATATAACGAGCGTCTCGCAGAAACGCAGAAATGATTAATTGCTCGTTGCCTCGCTATTGACCGGTAGAACGCACAGTTTGACTATTGGTCGGCGATACTCGGAAGTCGCCGTCTTTACCGTCACTACTCGCGTGAAGCCGTCTGACCCGGGGTGACAATGCGTCATGCGGCTTAGCTCCCATTTGCATGGGGGTAACGTGGGATGACGCAGAAGGACCAGTTGTCCGAGAGTAATTTGCGATTTTTCCTTTCGCCATTTTGCTCGTTGTTGTAGCGTATTTACGTAATCGTTACTCCATAATTTCCAAAATCTTTCCGTAATGTGGCGTACAAGCTGCCATCGAGATAATCGATTTTCATTAAGATTAAGCAAGAATGGTTCCGGGTTAACAGTGAGCGCGGATCCGACCAAAAAATGACCGGGAGTGAGGCATTCATAGTCGTCGAGAGTGTCGGAGAGAGGCACGATCGGTCGGGAGTTTAAACAGGCCTCGATTCTACATAATAAAGTGGAGAATTCCTCGAACGTTAACATATGCGGACCTAAAACGCGGCGCAAATGAATTTTAACACTACGAACGCCCGCCTCCCACAATCCACCGAAATGCGGGGCGGAGGGAGGGAGGAAATTCCACGTAACATTATCCGAAGCGGTCAGATTCAAGAAATTCGGATCCTGTAATGCGGCTTTGTACGCCTGTTGTAACGCTCGGTCCGCTCCGACGAAGGTAGTTCTGTTGTCGGAGTACATACTTTGCGGCAGCCCGCGCCGAGCGCAAAAACGGGAGTAAGCGTTTAAGAACGCCGAGGTAGAATAGTCTCCGACCAATTCCAAATGGATAGCTTTGGTCGCTAAACAAATGAATAGTGCGATATACGCTTTGCGGGAAGTAATACCGCGGCCCGAGAAGGCGCAAATTAGCACGGGGCCCGCGTAATCTAACCCGCAATGCAAAAAACAACGAACCGATGAGGT